GGAGGGGGAAGTGGTAGGAGATGGAGCTGGAGAAGGAGGCAGGAGCCACATCACAGAAGGCTGTGTTAGTCTTGTTCAGGGGTTTGAATTTTATACCATGGGTGGTGGTGGGGTCAGTAAAGACCTTTAAGCAAGGAACTAGTCAGCCTTCTCTTTAAGATCAGTTTATAGATAATGATCTCCTGTGTGAACAACCACAATACTTTTCTTGACTCCCATTTCTCCTATCTCCGTATACCACTTCCAAAGTGCTCTTCCTAAAAATAAGACCTTGTCCCTTTCCTAATTAAAAAGCAAGACAAAATAAAATAAAGACCCTACCATAGCTCCTCAGAGCAGACAGCAGCAATTCCCAAACTCCAAGGAAAATTATTACTGGAGATGTTGATAGTTGTTCTGGGGGAAAAAAAATTCCCTTGCAAATTAGTTTGATTAACCTTTATACAAAATTAAACAGGTTTCCTTTTCATTGCAGGACTTCTCAGAGACTTTAATTTTCTAATGTCAATTATGACTCTTTCAAAAAGGGGTTCAGAATTCAGATTCCCCAATCTAATAAACAAGTGAATTCTTCAGTCTTAGAGCACTGGTTAGCATCTCCACAGGCTAGTGATCTGGGAAATGCCGGCCTCTACAACAAAGTCTGAACTCAGTTATATGAACAGGGCCATACATAATGGGAAAAATTCCATCGCTCCCTGCCGTATACACACTCCTGCACCCTCTGCTCCAACCACCTTGGTCTTCTCACTGTCCTTCCCTTCCTATGCTTGAGGGTTTCTTGGTCATCCTTTAAGTCATAGCCAAAACTCAACTCCACGGTGGAAAAGTTGTGTATGGCTGAAGATTACAAAGATATAAGTTGACCTGAGTAAAGGCTCTGGTCCATGATACCACAGTGTGTTCTATTTGGGAATAGTGTGGATAAATAATTCTATAATCTGTGAATCCATGAAAAGTACTAGACTATATTTTACAAAAAAAATTAAGGGTTATTTATTCCTGGTAAAGAGACCTTGGTCTTCAGAAACTGCACTGTCCTATGTTTAAAGGGTTAGGGTTATTATCTGCAGTCTCTCCATTCTAGGGTCAACTTTCTTCATTCCAACACCCCTTGTCCTAGAGACAGGCTACCTCCACTCATTCCCAGAAAGTGCTGGATAATAAAGGACCCTCAGAGCGAATCCTCATCACAGGGAAGACCCAGGGTCCGATCAGTGGATATAGATACTTTCTTTTTTGAGCAAGGATAACAGGAGAAAAATGAGAGCAGGGAAGCCATGGCTTTGCTTAGGAAGGGATGTTTCAGAGACTGGGGGGAGGTTCTGTGTGTTTGGGAGGGAAGAAGAGGTGGAAGGAGAAGAGGTCACGATACATCAGTAGCTTTGGACTCTGCCCCTCAGATTCAGTGGTGCTTTCACTGTTCAGGACCTGACCACTGACTTCCAACTTTGGGATGGAGATCAGATGGTATGTGTGAGGGGACAGTGCAGAAAGGAAGAGAGAGAAGAGAAGACAGGGAAGAAACGAGAAGAGGAAAAGGAAGGGAAGGAAGGATTCTCCCAACCCCAAGCCCCTGACCTTACTCAGAAGTAAAGCAAGGAAATGGAGTTCAAATTTGGGAGAAGGAAAAAGAGAAGCTCCATCTCCACCCTTGTCCTTTTCTTTCCCACCTCAGCCTGCAGCAGGTTGTTGAAGAATCAGCAAAGGAGTGGAGTGGGGCTGAGGGAAATCCGGTGAAAATTAAGCATAAGAGCAGCCTTGAGGCAGTCTCCCAAGATGGAAGCTTGCAGCTGGAGGGAATGATTGTGAAGGGCAAAATATTTATTAGCTGAGTATTAGTGGAGGATTGGCTCAGTCTGAGCTGGAAGAAGCAACTTCCTTTCCTTCCAGAGCCTGACCCCTTCTCTGCAGTTGCTCCAAAGGAGGTTTGCTCCTTTTCCATCTGCCTTATTATCACAAAATTCTTGCAGTACACCTGGGAGCTCTTTACCACCTGCTTGTGAAAAGTCCTGGCTTTTATGACGAAAAGTGATGCCATGAGTTTTTTTAAAAATGGTACTGAGGGCCCTAAAAGATAATACATTCCAAGATTCCAACTGGAAAAGAAAAAAAGCAAGAAGCAAGAAGCTAGCTCTACCTCCTGTGCTGAGCCCCATAAATTCTGAGCTGAAAGGATCCTCTTGACTACCCATGGTTTTACTTTAAAAAGTAGATTATGATTTCAGTAGTGTCTCTGCACATGAAAATGCTGCCTTTGCAACAGTATTATTGGCTGTGGGCCAATAATAAGCACAGGTCTGCTTTTCAGAAAGACTGGGAAGATGCTGTGTGGCAATGCCAATTTTGGGGTGGGAATCTCTGTGGGGTCTTTTTCGGTGTGGCACTAGAAGAAAACAAAACAAAATAAGACAATGCAAAAATGCAAGACTACAGCATTACTGTAAAAGAGCTAAGTTATTTGCCAAAACCATGGCTTGGTTTCCATGATGACTTTTTTTAGTAAAATTTTGAAGGGCAGGTGATGGAGAGCATTCAAAAATATAACTGCAATCCATGCTCCTCTTTAAGGATAAATTACACGTGGTTTGCACATTAAAGCTCAGAAGCACCCAAGGCACATGTTTGAAAGTAAAGCAGCTGTGTTGTGACGGAAGCCAGCTCTACAACATCAAATGTATTCTCGGTAGGAAGTTGGATAGCAAGAACTAGTAAAAGGCTCGAATGAAACCAAAACAATCCTCCCCAAACAAAAACTACTTTTAAATGGCATCCAGCTATCCAGTGATCCTCTGGCCCTAACTCAGTATTAAGATATTAATAATTCATCAAATCTTGATGAATAGGTATCGTAAGGACCTTGGTGTTTGCATCTATGTACAATTTACTTCTATCTTCATCTTACATTACTGCTCAAGGATATTCCAAATTTCTGAAAAAATTGTTGTCAGTCCCTGCTTGTCAACATGTCATCCCTTCTGTGAGAGGACATCAACAGTGACGACTCAATAGACCATTCCTGTGTTGACACCCATTTTTCACTCTAATGGTCTCGTTCACGGATGGATATTGGTGAAGATTCTGTAAGATTTGTTATGAGGAAGCATCAGAAAGTCAAAGATTCTAACTGGATGCTGTCACCACGCCTCTCCCCAACCTTCCACCAAAGAAAGATACCAAAGTGATGAATCTTGCCTCAGTATACTTCCTTTTGTTCTGAAGATTCTTGGTTACTATTTTTTTAATCTTTCAGTCAAGGATTCTAATGAAGCTATCAGCCATCTGTTAAATAAAGACACTAAGAAATTTGAGGACAAAAACATCAACCAAAAGGAACATTCTGTATTTGTGTGTAGTTGATGAGCACTGGCCAATTCCAGAATCATGAAGAACTTTACTAAAAGTTTGCTCTTCTTTCCCCTAGAAATGAAAACATTGCATTTCAAAGTACACACAAACAGTATCCAAAAGTAAGACAATTTTCAGCAAACGTTAATTTTGTGTTTCCTTTCAAAGTATTTATTCATTATAAGCAGAGGCATCTTATTCTAAACTTCAAACATGTGTCTGTGAATGTTCATAAGAATTTTTGTTGTATAAAATAGATGTGTTTTAATAATTATGAAAATCTAACCAAAATCATTTCATTCACACTGCTAAAATGCACCCACTCTGTTATATTCCGATATTGTCTTGTAGGCTGCATAAACCCTGAGATAAACATCTTTATCAGGGGCCTCTGACTCCAGGAACAAGCTCGGCCAAAATGAGGTGGGTGGGTGGGGGCTCACCCAAAGGGTGCTCTCTTCTTACAATAAAAGCCTTTTACAAACAGGATTTCGTGTGTTGAGAGAGGAGAAAAGAATCATTGTTCCTTTGTCAAGTCATCTTTCTCTGGGAGACCCTTTTGTCACCTACATGAAGAGCTTGTGCACGTTACAGTAAACACTCAAGCCACAAAAATACACTGAAACCACCAGAAATGAAGTCATCTGATCTGCTGAAATGTTTTCACCATCTGGGAAAATAACACCCAAGGGCCAAGACAGTTACTGAAGAAAATTTCTAAGTACGTTACCCAGGCCTGAGAGGCAACAGGTAGGTGGATTCTGTGCCAGTGAGAAAGTGTTATGATTGGCAAACCACGATGAAACTCTAAAATTGCAGTTTAATGGAAATGCTGGCTGTCATCCCCAAAGTACATTTCAAGGAATCACAAAACTTGAGAATTAAAGGCAGCTGCGTGGAAGTTTTCATCCATATTGAACCCAGAAGATTAGGTGGTAACACAAGAACTTTTGCAGGTGTCCCAGATCTTAATCCGGTGCCTCTGCCCCACAGAGCCCTTCATTCTTCAGGTCCTGATGGAACAGGGGTCATGTGACCAGCTCTTGGCCCAACTCGGAGATGGGGCAAAGCTGACAAGGGACAGGCATAGAATGGCCAGAAACCTCAGGGTCCAAGGGAACAGCCAGCCCCAGCATACTCCAGCGGAGGCGGCACAAGGCTGAGATGCAAAGAGCAGGCTTATCCCCAGTCTCGTGAAAATGATAACACCCGGCCATTCCCAAGGAGAAGCCGAAGCCAACAGTTTTTCAGGTCCTGGGAGCCTCTGTAACTGTCTCCCGAATGTCTGGGGTTTGGCCTCACGGTACGAACACACTTTGCCCCAGGGCATTTTTCCCTTAATTTTTAGGCCCCAGTGTATTTTAAGGTAGATTGATCCCACATTGCTTCTGATTCATTTACACTGAATTCATCAGACTGTGTTTGGAAAGAGCAATCCGAGGTCCAAGAAGCCCTTTGAGGCTGCTTTTATGAGTCTCTCTGTGCCTTTTTTCTTAGAAGCAAGAAGCCACGTCTTGACATGGACCAATAAAACGTGAGCCCCAGAGACTCGGGTCTGCTTCCAAATGTGGCACCTCTGAAACCCACAGGCCCTCAAATCACCAAAACAAGGCTGTCCCTCCTCCTTTTTCAGAAGTCAAAGGAAACCTTACCCTTGTGCTGTGTGGAGCCTGAGTCAGTCCGTTGGAGCTGCTCGGCGCAGAGCTCCCATGAGCCTTCAGCGTTCCTAACTCCACACCCAGGTGTGACACCAGCCTCCCCACGCTGGGAAGCGGCCGGCTCAGGGCCAATTCTGCTCTTTGCTCTGCAGAGCTGGGCCTGCGCAATGCTGGCAAGTCTGGAGGAAATGTCCTTTCTCTTCTGAGCTCTGAAACTGGGGTATTCTGTTGTTGATTTGTTGCCAACAATAGTTATTGTCAACATCCCTTGAACCTGACCGAAGGGGCACAATGGAAAGTGGTTTGGAAGTGCTTTGTTTCAGAGAGAAAAAGCACAGCCAACAACAAAGTTAGGTGTGCAGCGTGGATGTGAGAGATGCTTCCTGAGTGGTGGAGCTGAACACGCTGTTTCCTCCACTGGGGAACTTGCCATTAACCCTAAGAATCCAGGGCACAGCTCCAAGCACGGGCAGAGCAGGTCTAATAATTATGTGCCCCGTGGTTGAATGGGAGCATCTGCAGCTTGTCCCATGGACTCAGCCTCAGACAAGTGTACACTCTGAAGCCTCCGGTCAATTCCTGGAATGGGACCCAGAGGCAGCCACTCGGCCTGTTCTCTCACCTGTGACTTGCACTGTTGACTCTCTTTGTCCCTGGGCTTCCAAGATTGAAGGGAAACCAGGCCCCTGATC